GTGTCTGCATTAGTATTTTGTTTTCCTTTTTTATATTTTACTTCATAGCTTTATTCCTCTAATTTCAATCTCCAGCGCATTAAACATGATGATGGGTCTTTGACATTAAAAAGCCAGGTTTATGATCAATGATTATTTTAAATGATTTACCGTATAAGTATGGTCGAAAATGTTTTACTGACCAAACAATAGCTAGGAGTTCTTTCTCGGTCATAATTGCGTTCTGCTTTATTTAAAGTTCTAGAAGCATAAGCAACGGGAAGGTCATTACCTATTTTCCCTTGTGATAAAATAGCACCGGTAAATATTTAGAAGTACACAGTCAGCTCCGATTTTAATGAGACTAAGCTCATTCGACGCGTTTTTGCATGAGAAACAACTTTTTCCTGTGGTAAAATCGTCGCTCAGTTCCGCGAAGCGAGATATGAAGCGTTAAAGCAGATCATAATTCAGGTTAGGAAAGTTGTTATATCGATGAACTTTGGCAACATAAACATGCCTCGTAACTAACATAAACTTCCCGAGTAATATGCAAAAAGTTTTAGTCCATGCTCACTGTCCGTTAAAAAGTTATTAACAAATGAAGTTAGTGATAAGAGTTTGCACCGAGCATATGTACACACACACACATACACCGAAGGGGGTGTGCGGGGGGGCCTTCGGCTCCCCACCCGCACCCCCCTCGAGTGTTAACGGGTGAAACTCGTTTCATATGGAAAGTCACATGTGAGTTTGCGACTTATTGGGACTTTCCACATGAAGCGAGTTTCACCCGTTGACTCTTGAGGGGGGGTGCGGAGGGGGACCGAGGCCCTCCCGCACGCCCCCTTCGGTGTGTGCGTGTGCGTGCGTGTGCGTGCGTGTGCGTGCGTGTGCGTGTATGTATGCGTGTGTGTGCGTGTGTGTGTGTACACATACTCAGTGCAAATTCTTATTACTAACTTCATTTGTTAATAACTTTTTAATGAACAGTGAGCATGGACTAAAACTTTTTGCATATTACTCGGGAAGTTTATATTAGTTACGAAGCATGTTTATGTCGTGTTAAGAAATTGCTATTATTGGCGGGAATAATGCACGAATACACGCACTTCTCTAGGCGACGAATATATTAGTAAGCAACGATATCACAAATCAGTTTAGATATGTCAACATCAAGGTCACGGAACACTCGGAATTGGTTACGAGGCATGTTTATGTCGCCAAAGTTCATCGATATAACAACTTTCCTAACCTGAATTATGATCTGCTTTAACGCTTCATATCTCGCTTCACGGAACTGAGCGACGATTTTTCCACAGGAAAAAGTTGTTTCTCGTGCAAAAACGCGTCGAATGAGCCTAGTCTCATTAAAATCGGAGCTGACTGTGTACTTCTAAATATTTACCATAGCACCTATTCCTTCGTCGCTAGCGTCTGTCGTTAATAAAAATTCTTTGTCAAAATCAGAATACTGTAATATAGGTTCGCTTGATAATATATTTTTGAGCTTTTCAATATTTATTTGTCGTTTTTCCCATTTAAATAACGCGTTTTTTCTAAAAAGTGAAGTAAATGGCTGGGTAAATTCAGTGAAATTTTGAATGAATCGTCAATAATACCCTACCAGTCCCAAAAACTGTCTGAGTTCTCTATAATTTTTGGGAATAGGATATTGTATCATAGCTTTGATCTTTCCCGGATTGAGCTTAACTCCTTTCTCGGATATAAAGTGACCTAAGTATATTGAGTCGGCAAATAAGTTCGTTCGGTTTTTGTTTCAGTGTAAGTTTTATGCGGATTCGCTTTTCTTTTCTCAGCGTTATCGTGCAAATCGAATACACATTTTAAAAGTTATGTTTCACTGTTTATGTTGTCCTGTGTTTGGTTTGGCTAACATCAGTATTGTGTGTGCTGCGTAGCTGTGAACATGGAAATAAATAACGTGCATTATCGTCACGTTTTGCTCTATTATTTTAAAAAAGATAAACGAGCTGCGGATGCTTATAAAAAGATATGCCGTGTGTATGGAGATGATACCTTAACAGAACGCGTATGCCAAAAGTGGTACGCCAATTTCCGTTCTGGAGATTTCGACGTCAATGATGCGCCCTGCTCCGGTTGCCCGACAGAGATTAATTCAAGTGACATTAAGGCTATACTCGAAGTAAATCCATCCCAATTGGTACAACAGATTACTACCACATTGAATATATCCCACACAAGCGTAGAAAAACATTTGCGCCAGCTGGGATATGTTTCTCGGCTTAATGTTTGGGCATCAATTAGCCGAAGCTAACTTGACCACACGCATATCCATCTGCGATTCGCTACGGAAATGCCAAGAAAACGATCCATTTTTTAAACGACTGGTGACGAGTGACGAAAAACAATCGTCGTCTACGATATTGTAACGCGTAAAAGATCATGGGAGCACAGTAGCGAGCCACCGCAAACAACCCCGAAGGCGGGATTGCATCCGAAGAAAATAATGCTCTCCGTATGGTGGGATTTCAAGGGTGTCATCTATTACGAATTGTTACCGTCAGACAAAACGATTGATTCAACTGTATACTGTTCGCAATTGACGAAATTGAATCAAGCAATCCGCACAAAACGTCCAGAATTGGCAAATCGCAAGGGTGTCGTCTTCCACCATGACAACGCCAGACCTCATACGTCATTGACCACTCGGAACAAATTGCTTGGCTGGGATGTTTTGCCTCATTCTCCGTATTCACCGGATCTTGCTCCTTGCGATTATCATTTATTCCGGTCGCTGCAGAACTCTATGAACAGGAAAACCTTCAAGGATAAAAAGGCCGTTAAAAACCACCTGGATTGGTTTTTCGCCAATAAGCCCCAGACGTTTTACGAATACGGCATAATGAAGTTGGTGGAAAGATGGCAAGAGGTCATCGATAAAGATGGCCATATATAATTGATTAAAATTTATCTTGTGTATCAAAAAATTGTGTTTTATTCTACTGTAAAACACCGAACGAACTTACTTACCAACCTAATATTAGTTACTTTTTGAAAAATTTGCATTTATCTGGCTGTAACCTGAGACCGGCTTCTCTAACAAGTAAGTTTTCCAAATAATTGATTTAGTTTTATTTTATGCTCTTCTAAGGTTTGCGCATAAATAATGATATCATCTAAATAAACAGAACATACGTTTTCTTGTAGCCCGATTAAAACATTATCCACTAAGCGCTGGAATGTAGCAGGCGCATTCTTTAAGCCAAAAGGCATCCTTTTACATTCGTAATGGCCGTTTGGTGTACTAAATGCGGTTTTTGCAGAATCTTGAGGATCTGATGGGATCTGATGAAATCCTGAAGCCAGGTTAAAACACGAAAAATATCTGGCTTTGCCTAATTGATCTAAAATGTCTGAAATATTTGGTAAGGGATACGCGTTACCGATAGTTTTTTCGTTTAATTTACGGAAGTCGATTATTAATCTCCATCGTTTATTACCGTCGGTATCAGGTTTCTTTGAAACTACCGATAGAGGCGAGTTATAAGGCGATATAGATGCCTGTACCATATAATGTCTTGTTTCAATAATTTGTCGACTTGGGATTTTATTTCTTTCCTATATGTATGTGGGGATATCTATATTGTTTTACGTAAATAGGAACATTGTCTGTTGTTGCTATCGAATGTTTAATTCTATCTCTTCCCTATAATTTGTCTCCCGGTAAATAAAATATATCATTATAATCTTCTACTAAAGGTAGAATTGATCGTTTTTCTTCCTCATTCAGATGATTTAAACGCAAGTTTCCTTTTAACGCAAGTTTCCTTTTAACGCAAGTTTCCTTTTAACAATTTTAATCTATCCGATAAGTTAGTCGAGATTACTGAATTTATTTGATATGTGGAGCTGTCCCTCGGGCTCGTGGTAAATTCCACTAGCTCTACATTGATTCTAGGAATCTCGACATGTATTTCTTCCTCATTAGTATTCGTTATGTACGCATATGCTTGACCGCGATACGTACATAACTATGCTTATTATACTTTCTATCAAGAAAACACCTCGCTGTATTTCTCGATGAGACAAAAGCGCACTATCTGTATTATATTGATTAGTTTGAATCGCAATGGGACAAATACTTCGACCAGGGAATTGTACCGAGTTACTATATTCCAATTGATACGTCACGTTATTCCTGATTGTTACCGAACGTTTTTCGAAATCGATTTTCGCGTTTTCCTCTCGCAAAAAAGTTGAGCCTGTTATTCCCTGCTCTTTCAAAGGAAATTTACTTGGAACAACATGGAATTCGTGAACGTCGGTACCTGAGTGCAAATATATCGTTCCTAAGGTTACCTGCTTTTCTTCGGTTATCCCTTGTATTTTAACTTTATTATCATAATAAAGCAATGTTTCTGGTTTTAGGGCGTTCGTTTTAATGATATTTATGCCCGCGCCTGTATCTAAGAGATATCTGTCGGTTTTTAAGTTCATCGAAGGAGATACGGATAAGATTTCTTGATGTTATTCGGGTGGTGTATGAGCGGGCTCTGATTCTGTCATTTCGACCGGATTCGCGCGACTTAATTGTGGGTCTAGGCGAGGCGCGCTTCTCGTTTGGCCATGATATTGGGTTGACAAGAAAATAATTTCGGTTTGCGCCAATAGATAGTGTTATGTTTGTGTCATTATTCTTCTGTCAATGTTATAATTTTTTTCTTTTCAGATTTGGTAGTTGACACTCTTAGGTTACTATAGGAATAAATTCCGTGTAATTTTGTTTACAACTGTTGGTTTACGGTCAACTTTAACATGGAGTGCAAAAATGATCATTTTTTATATATTTTACTTTTTTATTTTCGTAAAGGCAAGAAAGCGGCTGAGGCTCACAAAGAGAGATATGTGAAGTTTATGGTGTTGGTTGCATAACAGAACGTACGTGTCAGAATTGGTTTAAAAAATTTCGTTCTGGAGATTTTTCACTTAAAGATGACCAACGTTCTGGCCGACCTTCTGAAGTTGATGAAGACAAAATGAAAGCCATAATTGAATCAAATCGTCATATAACTGTGCGAGAGATTGTAAAAAGGTTAAATGTGTCACACAGAATTGAAAATCACATAAGACGTCTTGGACTCGTTAAGCAGCTGGATATTTGGGTTCCGCACGAATTGAAAGAAATTCACTTAACACAACGGATCAATATTTGCGATACGCATTTCAAACGTAATGCAATCGATCCTTTTTTAAAGCGAATTATCATTGGTGGTGGAAAATGGATCGTCTACAACAACATTAATCGAAAAAGATCATGGTCCAAGCATGATGAACCGGCACAAACCGTATCGAAAGCTGAATTGCATCAAAAAAGGATCATGCTGTCAATTTGGTGGGATTACAAAGGTGTTGTGTATTTTGAGATACTTCCAAGCAATCAAACGATCAACTCAGATGTTTACTGCCAACAACTTATGAAATTGGAGGAAGCAATCAAAGAGAAAAGACCAGAATTGGCAAATCGTAAAGTAATCGTGTTCCACCACGACAATGCGAGGCCTCATACATCTTTAGCAACACGTACGAAATTATTGGAGCTTGGTTGGGAAGTGATGTCGCATCCTCCATATAGCCCTGACCTTGCACCATCGGATTATCATTTATTTCGAAGTTTACAAAATTTTTTAAACGGTAAAAATTTCAACATGATGATCCCAAATCGCACTTGGTTGAGTTTTTTGTTGATAAGAACCAGCAGTTCTATGAGCACGGAATCATGAAGCTACCAGAAAGATGGAAAAAGGTCATCGAACAGGATGGAAAATATTTGATCGATTAAAGTTCATTTTTTGTATAGAAGAAATTGAGTTTTATTTCACACTAAAAAACCGAAATTACTTTCTTGCCAATCCAATAGTTTAAAGGTGTTTCTATTATTATTATTCGGAATATATTATGGAATATATTGATAATTATTTACATTACGTTGATTACTTTGTCCGTTATAATTATTATTCTCGCGGTAGCGATTGTTAGCGGAAAAATTGTTTGGGCCTGTGGTAGGTTGAATTTGCGTCTATCACGATATGTATGATTAGGATTTTGTAAAGAATTCGGATTTCGATATGTATATGTAGGTTTGTACAGGGTGTCCCATTTTAATCCGGCCGGCTGAATAAAATTCGAGGATATTTTCTAGAAAAAAATGTCAGACAAATGTTGTTCAGTTCTAAGGGGGACATTCGATGCCATCAACAATTTTGACTTTGGGTGAAGGGTTCAAGGTCATTCAAGGTCAACTTTTTTTTCTTAAATGGGAACCCCTATTTTTCACATCGGCAATCGATTCTACGTAAAAAAAAATGAAACTTTTGTCTGAAGCATTTTTTTTATAACGCAAACTAATTTCACTTATTCAGCCTCCAAAATTGAAATTTTCAAACTTTCTGAATTTTTTACTCGAGAATGGTGGGGTTTGGGGGGAAATTGCAGAATACAAAAAGTTTTTGGAATGCTGCATGGAATTCACTCGAATTTTCGCATAGTTGATCGTGCACTTTTTTCTGCCAATGTTTGGAAAAAATCTTTTACCTCATCATGTCCAGTACCCTCGGCATTAGCATCACCCGATGTGCACTACGTGGAGGTCGCCGATGGGATTTTGCACATCATTGAGGGACGTTCAAGCCAGTTTTCGCCAGAGGGTGCAAATGTGCATTGCACAGAATGGGCACCAGATTGAGCACTTGATGTCATAGATCGAGTTCAATAATCAATCAATCGGCCTTTTTCAGGGCCAATGATGCGCAAAATCCCATCGGCGACCTCCACGTGGTGCACATCGGGTGATGCTAATGCCGAGGGTACTGGACATGATGAGATAAAAGATTTTTTCCAAACATTGGCGGAAGAAAGTGCACGATCAACTATACGAAAATTCGAGTGAATTCCTTGCAGCATTCCAAGAACTTTTTGTCTTCTGCAATTTCCCCCCAAACCCCACCATTCTCGAGTAAAACATTCAGAAAGTTTGAAAATTTCAATTTTGGAGGCTGAATAAGTTAAATTAGTTTGCGTTATAAAAAAAAATGCTTCAGACAAAAGTTTCATTTTTTTTTACGTAGAATCGATTGCCGATGTGAAAAATAGAGGTTCCCATTTAAGAAAAAAAAGTTGACCTTGAATGACCTTGAACCCTTCACCCGAGGTCAAAATTGTTGATGGCATCGAATGTCCCCTTTAGAACTGAACAACATTTGTCTGACATTTTTTTCTAGAAAATATCCTCGAATTTTATTCAGCCGGCCGGATTAAAATGGGACACCCTGTATATGTAGGATATGTATGTGTATATGTAGGATTATATATGTAGGTTAGTTAGAATTGTTGTGAACGCGATAAGTTTTTGCTCTACACTCATTTTCAACATGCCCTGATTTTCTACAATAATTGCAAATTGATAGCTGAGAATAACATGACTGACTAATTTGAATTCTTTCCGCGTGATACTATAATTTAGTTATGAATCTAATGGTACTATCGATAGCATCGTCAAGAGAATCAAACTTTTGTGCTAATAAATGTTGTCCTATTCTCCTATCTAAACCACCCAGGAAATGATCTATAATTTTATTTGTGGCAAAAATTTTCAATTCGGGTCGTGCCATCGAATCAGGATAATTAGAAATCGCAAGTATTAAGTTTATGTTAAGCTTTTTAGTTCTATTAACGTATTCTTCTATGGGTTCGCCTTTAAATTGCTGCAAATTGTTTACTTTTAGTTCTCACTGCTCGAAACTTTTATGTTTGTTAAATTTTTTTTCTAATGTGAGGCACAATGTTTCTAAGTTATTAAAAGAATGAATAGATCTTAACAAGGCTGCATCTCCGATTAATTTAGTCTGTAAGATGGCTCTAAAAAAGAAATCTCTGTCGTCTGGGTCTACTAGATTGATGGCTCCTCTACAATTGGAAGTGAATATATGCACCGGAATACTTTTCCCATCAAAAATAGGTATGAGCGATAAACCCTGACGAACAAGAATGTTACGTCCTGGAGGAGGAACGCAACTTGACGCTTGCTTCCGCAAGCTCCGACGTACTCGCAAATCTGCGGAACAGATCAAGGATCGGAATGACCCCTTTATCTGGCGCAGACGTACGTCGGTGGTCCTTTATTTAGGTCAAGGAACTGAATCCTTTTACCTGGGATAGGACCGTGAGCGACAGTTGAGGGAAGGGAGAATTTTTGGTTGAGAATAATTATTTGGAAAACGTGATTGGTTTACAATTACAAACAACTTGTTTTATTAGTGATTAGACAAAAGTTCACAATGAAATAAAATTTGTAAGATTTTATAATGTGTCCGTATACATATGTGGTTAACAATCGCGCTCAGAACAATGATTCTCGATTACTCAGAACAATATTCCGTGTTCGTTATGTCCGACTGTGATCGAAAGGATTGGGCCACTGACACCGGATTTTACTATTAAGGAGGAATGCCAAGGGGGATAGAAAACGGAAGTAAAACGAAAGGAAAAGAAAAAAGAGAGAAGAAAATATGAAAAAATGAAACGAAAGAGGTCACTCGGGTAAAAGAAAATATAAATAACTTACTGCTGGACTTCTCTGATCTTAGTAGACAATGAAAGGTGTGGTTACTGCGTCTCTGTGAGGATAGATGCCTCAAGTTCTGCGCCAAGGACAGGCAGCTGGTTTCGGCAGGATCGCTCTCAATGGCCCAATAAGGCACAAGATCGTTGCACCGAATAATTAACAAGTGAAGAATACTGGTCGGTCTAAGCCACAAGTTGGCTTGATTGTTAAGAAACCCTGAAGGGGTGTTGGAAAGAAACGTCTGTCCTGGGTGCTGGATCGGCGAGAAGTGAGTGAGGCTTTTGTCTTTTCTCAAAAAGTCAGCTCGGTTGAGAGAGTGGGGTTTTGGGGGAAATGTTCCAGAAGATTATTTTATAGGAGATAAGATGCATGTGGCAATAAGAGGATTTCGAAAGTCTTTTGTAAATAAAAAAAAACGTGGCAGCTGTCCTAAGAAATAAATATCGATATTTCTAAGAACGATGTCGTGGTATTGTTATCAATGATTAAGCGCGTGGGAAACAGGAGTTGATTCAAGATTGTTAGTATTTTCGGGGTATCGAAAATTCCAGAGATATCGTCGTGTGGTATCATGCCTGAGCGCATTCGGCCATATGATAAGTAATCATAAATTCGATTTCCCTTATTTATAAAAGAAGTCTAGGGTCCGCTGAGTCAGCAGGAGTAACAGGAAAATAACAGAAAAATGACTATAGGTGTATGAATTAATTCGGTCCGCTTTTTCCCTCCAAAAAAGACTTTAGTATGAAAAGACATGAAAAAGTACACTAATCAAAGTATTTGCCATTGCTTGCTATTATTTTTTCCCATCTGTCTGGTAGTTGTTGCATTCCTTGACGGAAAAACGACTCGTCCGTCAAAGTGATCCATTCATTGAGCTGTTACATCCTAGAGGAGGAGCGCAACTTTGCCGTTCGCGGTAAAAGCGAACCTCGTTCGTACACGCGTGTCAGGGAACGGGTCAGGAACCCAGGTCCCTTTACTCACTCGCTGACGTACGACGAGCGGTCCGGTTTCCGGTCAGGGATGCGAATCCCTTTACCGGGGATAGGACCATGAGTCGACTGTTGGAAGGTGGGGCGATTTTGAAATTAATTAATAGAAAATTAGATATTTAACAAATTTATTAAAATACAGATGGCAAACAAAATGATATAACAGCACGGTTTAAAATATGACAATTTATAGTTACGCGAATGATTGTATGTGTATGTGTGTCTATTTGTGTGAGGGGAAAGAAAAAAGAGAACAAGGAAAGAGAAGGAATAGAGAGTTAGTCAGGTGAAGGGGAACGAGAGCGGTCAGGTAAATTTAGAGGAGTGAGTAGTTCAGAGAAAGAAACAGGGGAATAGGATATCGAGGGGTAGAAGGAGTGGAGACGCGCGTGTAGGAGAAGAGGAAGGAGTACCTAGAGGAAAATGAGGGAGAAGGAAAGGGGGTAGGAGCATAGGATCTGGGTGGTAATCAGTTCCTAACGTTATGTTAACTATCGCTCGGAGATAGTGGACCCGAGATGCTAGTTGGTCTGGATCTCTGGTGTCAAAAATCGACTCGAGCGTTTGGAAAATTCTGTCGATGGTTATCTCAGTATTGTGACAATAACCCACTAAAACCGGATTTCCATAATAAGGGGAGTTAATAAAATGGTGATAGGAAAGGTAGATAATAAAGAAAGTAAAACTTACTGCTGGTTCCAAAGTAGAGAGAGAGAGAGAGAGATAGCAAACAAAAGAAAATGCTGCTGGGTGTGCAACGTTGGCTCTGTCGCTCTCGGATTTCCAATTCGGCACCGGTTATGTTACACACAACTATGTGTTTTTTCTCAGGCAGCAGACAATAATTAAAACTGAGCATAAATTTTCAAAATCAAACGAGAAGAAGAGAAGTATCAGAATACCGAACTTGTCGTTCTAATTCATGTGCTGGTCAGACGAATAATGTGCTAGCCTTTTCATTTTACTTAAAACGTCACCTCGATTGAGAGGATTGGGTTGTGGAAATTGTGTCAGGGGTCTAAGGTCTATGTTGTTACTTTGTTGTTAACATTTTCGGAGGTGGAGTTTTAGAATTGCGTCAGGGGTCCAAGGTTTATTAGAACTTTCCCAGAGGTAGGATTTTGGAGTTGCGTTGCATTGTTGTGAAGCGCCGGCAAATTGCCGT